TGTTCTTTCACTAAGAATAGAGCTTTGAAGCAAATCAGGATGATTTCGCTCGAACACAATGAAATAATAGACAACCAGTCCTTGAGTTTCACTGCCACATGTAAATTTTATCATTCCTTTTCTCAAGTTTACAGCATCGCACTTAAATATCCTTGATCATGAAAATAAAGCTAATAGATGATAGAATATGCCTCTAGTATTATTAAACATTTCAAATGGCTCAGTTTACTCTAAGTGGCCTGTGGGCAATAATCAGGAAAAAGTAATTCCTGTCAGTTTTGGGTGTGGGTTGGATTAAGTTATACGAACTTTTCTCTGAAAGAGGACATTGTCAGTGGGGTTTCTAAATGTTAATAGTCAAGTATTCCATATATTGCATTTTATTGAGGTACACAAACATATATTTTCTAAATGATAAATCTTAGTCTTGATAAGTACTGTTGAAATTTGGAAGTGAAATTAATGCTTTAATAGTTACTAGATTTTACTCTTGCTCCAGAGCCACATTTCCATGTAACATTAGCCCACATAACATCATTATAAAGATTACAAACTTACAATTGAAATAAGATATGGAGGAAAATACATGAATTGTAAGAGTCAACTTGAATTTTCACAAAGTCAACATAGTTGTGAAACCAACACCCAGACCAAACTACAGAACAGAACCAACTTGCCAGAAGACCCAGTGCACCTTTTCAGTCATTATCTCTAAGGACAGCTGCTTCCTGACTTCTAACACCACAGACTGCTTTTGCTAGTTTTTAAATAGTATCCAAATAGATACTCTTTTGTGTCTAGCTTCTAGTTTCTTTTGCTCAACATATGAGTGAGGTTCATCCAAACTGTTGGGTGCACTTGTAGTTTTTTTATTGTCGTTGATAGATGACATTCCCTTTTGTAGACATATTCATTTATGCATTTATTCCACTGTCAATGAATTTGACATTTGTTGATATAGGGTAGTTTCCATGACTTTTTATTTAATGAAATGTTATGTTTTCTGTAATAATGAGACAATGTTGAATCCTGCATTCTGGGGCTGTGAACAATTTTGATGAAAAGTTGGTTTTAGTGAAAAGTACTAATGAAAAAAAAAAAAAACAAGCTCTATGCTCTTCTAGTTTAAATAATTAAGGATACCAAATCAGGAAGAATTTGATAACTTTAGCAAACTTGTATGATGATAAATAATGGCAAATCTCAAAACTTGATTTTATCATGGTGATTTTCTGTTGTCAAACCCTTATCAGAGCTTGTACCCATTGGTACACTTAACATACCACTTCATTCTCTTTTTTGGTTGATTATCTATAAGAAAAGAGATAGAAAAAGTCCTTGCACTCCTGGGTAAGATAGGAGGGCTGAGGAGAGTCTTTCCATAATCTCTCTTGGTTAAAAGTGGTCTGTGTAATATGAATGAACTTGGTAAGGCTCTTTCTACACTGCCTCCTGCAGAGGAAAGACATTGAGATGTTGACAAAATAAAAAAAACATGCTAAGAAGATCGATATTGTCACATGGTGTCTCAGAAAATGAAATAATGTTACTCACTTGTAATTAGCCGATTTTACTGCATAGGTAATGAATATATGTGATGCAAATTAATATCTTAATCATAATCAAGGACTACGGAGTGTCTAAAGTTTCATTTCTAAAATGGGCTTGAAAAGTGGGGGCTGGGGCCTGAGTTATACTTCATTGTGTGTGTGTGTGTGTGTGTGTGTGTGTGTGTGTGTGTGAGAGAGAGAGAGAGAAACATTGGTGGGACAGCTTATAGGATATATTGTTCTTTCCAAGAAGGGCCTTTATATAAGTGGTTCAGAAGGCAAAAGAAGACAGTTTATGTCTTAATAAAATACCTAAAACCCTAGAGGGTTTACACTTTCACTCTTGGCTTTATATGTTACCCAGGAGTTAGAATGTACAACTAAGTGTTGCAGGTATTCCAAATTTTACTGTTAATAAGAAAATGGGTGGGCAGTCCTGCAAAAATCTCACTCATTTACTAAACTGAACCAAAGTGTATTTCGTTTCTCACTAATTTGAAGAGGTATATGCACTCCTGTATCCATTGCAACTCTATTTACAATAGCCAAGATGTGGAAACAGCCTAAGTGCCCAAAGACAGATGAGTGGATTAAGAAGTGGTGTATATATATATATACACACAATGGAATACTATCCAATTATGAAAAAAGATGAAATCATGCCATTTGCAACAACATGGATGGAGCCTGAGATGAGTATGGCAACCAAAATGAGTCAAAGGAAAAAGAGAAATACCAAGTGATTCCACTTGTGTGGAATATAAAGAACCAAAACAAGGGAACAGAAAAAACTAGTCGGAAACAAACTCTTGAGGGCCTCCTTGGTGGCGCAGGCGGTTGAGTGCAGCGCTGTGAAGCTGTCCGCAGCTGTTATATTATTTAGAGTACTTTAGAATATCCCTAGTTCTGCTTTTGTTTCTCATCAGCACTGATTTTGTTAATGCAAATTTAAAATATGTGTAGCAAACTCTGAAGTTGGAACTCACTCAAATTCTTTATTTAAATAAACTAATGACAAATGATCAACATTTTATTATACTGTATAGAACAGGTTTTAGGAGTATAGCTTCAATAAGTGTATTTATCTCATTGTACCCATGACCAAAATTCTAGGGCATTTATACTGCCAACTTGACCCCTTCTACACAGCTCTCCCATCCCTTTACCCCTTCTGGTAACCACATCTTTTTTACAGAGTTTGTTATATCTTTTGTGTATTTTTTTAGTTTGGTGACTTTGTTGATATATATTCTACATGAGTGATGCCATCCAGAAATTATCTTTCACCTTCTCACTTACTTAGCATAATCACCTCAATTTTAACCCATGCTTTATTTTTTTAAAGTCGAGTGTTCATCCTTTTAAATAACTGAATAGTGTTTAAAAGGTTTTGGCGCAGTAGAGAGAGAGAGAGTCAGGCCTAGTTTCTGAAAGGTAGAGATTTTATTGTGCTCTTGGGGGAGGTTCACCGACCCCCACAGAGGCCAGAGAAGTCACACCCACACCCATAAGCTTAGGGCCCTGTCTGGCCTTGGCAGGAGGTAGAGAATGTGGAGTTGAGGTTGCTTTTTAAATATTTTTTTTTCTCTCAGAACTGGTTCTTCTTTCATCGCTGCTTATCAGGTCCGGCTCTAGCTTGTCTCCAGGATGCAGGTGGCAGCAGTTTCAAGTTCCCCCTTTTCTGCCCCATCCCTGCCCCAGCCTCGACCTTTCAGTATTCCATTAACTGTACACACCACAGCTTCCTTCTCCAGTCACACATGGGTGGGCATTTTGGTTGTTTTCATGTTTTGGCTGTTGTCAGTAATGCTGCTATGAACATAGGGTGCACATATCCTTTTGAGTTAGTGTTTTTATATTCTTCAGATAATACCTCACTGTGGGTTTGATTTGCATTTCCCTAATAGGAAGTGATGTTGAGCATTTTTTCTTGTGCCTGTTGGCTCTCTGATGCTTTCTTTGTTAAAGTGTCTATTCACATCTTCTGCCTTTTTTGATTGGGTGGTTTGTTTTTTGTTGCTGCTGCTGAGTTGCATGATTCTTTCTATACTTTGGATACTAACCCCTTTCAAACATACGATGTAGGTCAGTAGTATAGTTTGAAGAATGATGCCACGTTCTTCCCCTCCTTTGTCAGGGTTGCTTTTGGCTAGTTGAGGTCTTCTGTGATTTCATATGAATTTCAGTAATGCTTGTTCTATTTCTTTGAAGGATATCATAGAAACTTTGATAGGGATTGCTTTGGCTCTGTATTTTGGCTTGGATACTATGGCCATTTTAATCATGTTAATTTTTCCAATCCATGAATAGAGCATATTTTTCCATTTGTTTGTGTCTTCCTCTATTTTAACGATGTCTTTTTTTTTTTTTTTTAAAGAGGCACTAGACTTGGGACATTTTATTTATTTATTTATTTATTTATTTATTTATTTATTTATTTATTTGTTTGTTTGTTTATACATGCACTGGGTACAGTCAGAAGTGCGGGAGGGTGAGAGAATTCACCAGAGCCAGAGCAGGGAGCAGAGCAGGCAGAAGGACCGAAGTACACTGCTGAGGGGAGCAGCGGGCGGCAGGAGAGGTCTGCACGCCATGTGGGACCCTCCTCTGGTGGCCGGGGAGCAGCCGGGGATCGAACCGGCGCCGCAGAGGCTGCGGGCAGCTTCGCAACCCAGCGCTCAACCGCTGCGCCACCGGGGAGACTCTTAACAATGTCTTACAGTTTCCATTGTACAGGTTCTTCACCTCCTTTAAGTTTACTCTTAGGTATTTAATTCTTTATAACGTAATAACAAAGGGGAGTGTTGTCTTGATTTCATCCTCTCCTAACTCATTGTTTGCATTATAGGAACACAACTGATTTTTTTTTAATTCTACAAATAAAACTTTTTTTATGTGAGTATAATTTATTTGTATATATATATTTTAATTATTGTGGTAACATTGGTTTGCAGCACTGCATATGACTTGGGGATAGGTTCACACCTTCTCACCACACCCCTCACCCTCTACTACAGCACCAATCTCCCTTTATCAGGCATCACTGGGTCCCCCGCTCTTTGTTCCCAAGTACCAGGGTAATGTTGGCCTCATAAAATGTGTTCAGTAGTAGTCCTTCTTTGTCAGTTTTTTGGGAAGGGCGGGTAATAGTTCCCCTTTGAAAGTAGAACTCACTAGTCAAACCATCTGTGCTGGACTTAAGTTTTTACAGAGACTTTTGGTTAGTATTTCAGTTTCCTTGGCTATTGCGAATGATGATGCAGTAAACATGGGAGTGCATATATCTCTTTGATATCCTGTTTCTCTTCCCTTGATAAACTCTCAGAAGTGGAGTGACTAAATCATTTGGTAGATCTACTTTTAATTTTTTGAGAGTGCGTTGAACCAATTTATATTCCCATTAAGAGTGTATAAGTGTTCATTTTCCTGGACATCCTTGCCAGCACTTACCTCTTGTATTCTTGATAGCCATTATAACAGGGTGGAGGTGATATCTCATTGTGGTTTTGATTTACATTTTCCTAGTGATTAGTAACGTTGAATGTATTTTTATGTACCTGTTGACCATCTGAATGTCTTTATTGGAAAAGTGTCTATTTAGTTCTTCTGACCGTGTTTTTTAGTGGTATATGTTTTGAGTGTGTGGTGTGTGTGTGTGCATGTATAGTATTTTAACCCCTCATCTAATATGTTATTTGCAAAATTTTCTCCCATTCTGTAGGTGCTTTTTCATTTTGTTAATTGCTTCCTTTGTGCTGAATCTTAAATTTGATGTAGTCCCATTTGTTGTTGTTTTGTGCTTTAGAGATGGTATGGTACCTCTTTGTTCTTTTTCTTCTTTTTTAAAAGATTTATTTACTTATTTATACAAGCACTGGGTACAGTCAGAAGCGTGGGAGGGTGAGAGAATTCACCAGAGCCACAGCGGGGAACAGAACAGGCAGACTGACGAAACACACTGCTGAGGGGAGCAGCGGGCGTGGCAGGAGAGGACTGCCGCACCATGTGGGACCCTCGCCCTGTGGCCGGGGATCGAACCGCCACTGCAGAGGCTGCGGGCAGCTTCGCAGCCCAGCGCTCAACTGCTGTGCCACCAGGGGAGGCCCATGTTCTTTTTCTGTAGGATTGCTTTTGCTCTTTGGAGTCTTTTGTGATTTTATACAAATTTCTGGGTTGTACTTTCTATTTCTGTGAAGAATGCCATGGTATTTTTGTGGATATGGTATTGAATCTATAGCTGGCTTTGAGTAGTATAACCATTTTAGTAATATTCATTCTTCTGTTTCCTAAACATGGGATGTCTTTCCATTTTTGTGTTCAGTTTCTTTCAGGAAAGTCTTGTAGTTTTCATTGTACAGATCTCTCATTTCTTTTGTTAAATTTATTCCTGAGTATTTCCTAATTTTGATGCTATTGAAAATGGGGTAGCTTTCTTTATTTCTCTTTCAAATGTTTCATTACTTTATACAGCTGATTTGTGTGTTAATTTAGTATCCTACATTACTGAAGTTATGAATGAATTTCAACAGTTTGTTGATGAATATTTGGGATTTCTGTATACAAAAATAGCATCTGCAGACAGCAACAATTTTACTTATTCCTTTCGGATTTGGTTGCCTTTTATTTCTTTGTCTTGCCTAATTGATCTAGCTAAGGCTTCCAGTACTATACTGAATGGGAGTGATGAGAGTAGGCAACCTTTTCTTGTTCCTGATCTTAGAGGAAAAGCTTTCCATTTTTCTCCATTGAGTATAGTGTTAGCTGTGGGTTTGCAGTATATGGCCTTCATTACATTGAAGTACATGTCTTTTATATCCAATCTATCAAGTGCTTTTCTTTATCATGAAAGGATGAGTTGTATTTTGCATCTGTTGAGACAATCAGGTGAATTTTATCTATTATTCTATTAATGAAATTTATCATTTTGTGTACGTTGAACTAGTGCAGAGGTCCTTAGGTTCAGTTATGTATTTCCAATTAGTTGTACATCAAAGGGAAAAGTAACAGGAAAACTCTCACCACCATGATGCTGAAATCACTCTCCTATCTGATCACAAAAATCTGCAAAGAGCTGACAAGACTCATCAAAAACAAAGAAAACAACACAGTCAAAAAATAGGCAGAAGAGTTAAAAAGAAACTTCTCCAAAGAGGAAATGCAAATGGCCAACAGGCATATGAAAAAATGTTCAACATCACTTGTCATCAGGGAAATGCAAATCAAAACTACCATGAGATACCATCTTACACCAGTGAGAATGGCAGATATTAAAAAAACTAGCAACAACAAATGTTGGCAAGGATGTGTAGAAAAAGGAACTCTCCTACACTGCTGGTGGGAGTGCAAACTGGTCCAGCCACTATGGCATAATTTTATTTTATTTATTTATTTTTTAATAGAGGCATGTTTTATTTATTTATTTGTTTGTTTGTTTTGGTTATACATGCACTGGGTATAGTCAGAAGCGCGGGAGGATGAGAGAATTCACCAGAGCCGGGAGCAGAGCAGGCGGAGGGACCGAGGTACACTGCTGAGGGAAGCAGCGGGCGGCAGGAGAGGTCTGCGCGCCATGTGGGACCCTCCTCCGGTGGCCGAGGAGCAGCCGGGAATCGAACTGGCGCCGCAGAGGCCGCGGGCAGCTTCGCAACCCAGCGCTCAACCACTGTGCCACTGGGGAGGCCCACTATGGCATGATTTTAAATCTTGATAAGATAACTGGCCTGCTTACCAAAATTAGTTATATTGATGTTTACCATAAAGAACATATTTTATCTACTGTTAAATTGCTTCTACAAAATTTAATAGGTTTTTCACAAACAACATTTCATAAGAGTAAGCAATAACCTTGTTGGATGGTAAGTTTTGCTAAGTGGACTAAAAACAAAAGGGCATCCAAAAAAAATGACACTTGGAGAATAAGAAACATAAAAGACATTAGTGGGCATCTAGTTTAATCCCCTCAATTCAGGAATGATAAAGTCAGCTGTCAGAGCTATGAGCTAGTTGATAGGATCTGAGTAATAGCCCATGACTCTGACTGCAGCTTGAGTATGTGAAAGGTTGAAAGTGGTAGCCAATTTTCAACATGACTCATTGCTTTTATCTCCTGATATTCCATCCCACGTTGAACCTGAGCTGGTTCGGAGTGCAGATGACACAGCATTCTTGGACTTAAGACTGTAGTCAGGTCTCAAAAAAACCTTGCACCTTTTACCTGGGCCCCTTGGAATGCTTGTTTTGGGGGAACTCTTCCATCAATCCCCATTTGCCATGACATGAGAAGCTCCAGTCACATTGACGATTTTTATAGTTGCTCTGGTCCGCAGTCCTAGTTATATTCTCTGTCAACATTAACAAACATCAGCTGCCAGCTTTTTGACTGTACCATCTTGGAACTCCCTCCCAAAATAGCCTTCAGAAAACTCTAACCTTAGCCAGAATCTGACTGAAAACCATATGAGAGACTCCAAGTGAGGCACATTCAACAAAGCAGAGTCAACACATGCAGCCTTGAGGGACTATGATAAATTATCTTCAGGCATTAGATTTTAGGATGATTTGTTGTGTGCAATGGAAAATTGGAACAGATGGAACTAAGAAGTTGTCTAGAATTCTGTTCCTTCATGCTTGCAACTAGGAGTTTCATATGCATCACTTGGTCAAGGAAATTGTCTCCCTCCTGCTTTTTTTTTTTTTTAAGATTTATTTATTTTTATTTTATTTATTTTATTTATTATTTTTTTAAATAATAAATTTTATTTTTATATTCCCCCATACAATTGCAAACCCCCCATTCTGACCCCAATCCCTCCCCTCCCGCCCGAGATTTATTTATTTTTAAACAAGAGCTGGGGTACAGGCCAGAGGCGCGGGAGGGTGAGAGGTTTGACCAGAGGCAGAGCGGGGAGCAGAACAGGCAGATGACTGAAATACACTGCTGAGGGGAGCAGCGGGCACGACAGGAGAGGTCTTTTGTGCCATGTGGGAATCTCCCTGGCTGGGCTGAAATCGAACCGGTGCTGCAGAGGCTGCAGACAGCTTCACAGTGCTGCACTCAACCCACTGCACCACCGTGGAGGCCCTCCCTCCTGCCTTTTAACCCAAGCCTATCTGACTCAGGCATTCAGATGCTATCTTTAAGTCCATTTTTTTCCTGCTTCTGATTTCATTTCCTTAAAAATAATGCTACTGGTAAAACCTCACTAATGGTGTTTTTATTCTCATTTAATCTTCACAAAGCCATTTTGAAGTCTTTTCTGCTATTACCCTATGTGTGTATGTAAGAAACTGAAGCACCAAGTATTTTACAACTTGTTCCACATCATTTAACTATTAAGTATGGAGTCAGATGCTAAGCACCAATAACCCAGCTTCAGTCTATATCTTTAACCAGTAATATATGGACCTATCTTAATAGTGGTCATACTTTTATGGAGAACTTTGATAATGGTTTTTCATTATTTAATTAGTCTCTGTAGGAAATTTATTTATTTTACATAAAACATTTTTCCTTTTGTCTTTTTTATTTGTATGCTGTTTTGCATTATTGTTCATTTTTACACAATGTTTGTCCACCCCGCCCCCCAGGTGTAGTCCCCACAGAATTTCCTTCACCGATGCATCTGTGCACCATCACCTCAGTCCCCTGTGTGCCTCCCTCCTTCTGATTCCTCTCCCTCCTCCTCCCTCTGGAGGAAATTTAGAACACCAGTTTGTGAGGGTAAATTCCATTGGTGAGAATAGACATAGAGTGGAGCAATTCCTAGAGCTGAGGAATAGCTTTGATTTGGGACAGAATTTGTGAGTCCACAGCTTTCTGATTAACCTTGTACTGCTCTGTCATCTTTTATTTCTCTTCTGTGTCAAAGATCTCACCTTCCTGGTGTCTGGGCTTATATAGCTGCTGTTTCTTGAAGTAAGCATCAGTGAGATATCTTGGAATCTTCACCCCACTGCTGTCAGTTTTGGTAGAGGTGGCAATAACAAATTTCTGGTGTGTCCTACAAAGGGGTACTCAATGGAAGGACAGAGAATCAGTCACAAGTAGCAAGCCACTGCCCAGCTGCTTCTAGAAAACCACCCTATTGCCTTTTTCATGCCCTGTTAGGAGGGTCAGAACAGTCCCAGTGTTACAGGGCAGGGAGAGGTGCACCCCAGATCCCCCCAAAAACTACCTGCTCTAAATGGGTTCTGCTATCCGCCACATCAACACAAAACATATGAGACTTCAATGGGAAGGAACTTTAATACAATTAGGAAACAATACAGGAAAGGCAAAGAATCTAGTTTCTAAATCAAGCACCCAAAGTTACCCGTTCCCTCGTGGGTAAAACTCCATCCAAATGGGATTGGCCCAGAGCAAGGCCCCAAAACCTGCCATAAGTCCAAAGCATTTTCCAGTGGGGACCCACAGAAAAGGGTCAGAAACAACCAGACAAGCCTGGAAGGAAAAGAGCAAAATCAAAATCAAGA